TATATATAATCTCTCTGTGTGTGTGTGTGTGTGTGTATGTATGTATGTATGCACCTAGCTGAGTAGAATGAGAAGCCAGTGCAGTGGTCCCATGAGAGAAGATGGGAGCCTGGAATAGAACAATACAGGTGGGGAGGGAAGAAGGCAGGTAGATTGGAGAAGTATTTTTAGAGTCAGAATCAAAGGACATCTAACTTATCAGTTGTTCTAGATTCCCTAAGCAGAAGAATGTGAAATATAGTAATAGCCCCAAGAATTCTTTAGCCTTTTAAAATAATATATTGGCAGGCTCAGTAATTTATCAGTAATTTAATCAAAGTGGGTTTTGTGCCATGGGTCTTGCATCTTGACATCTGAAAGGTAATCAAAGTGAAATGACTTAGAAAACAAACTGGAGAAGACTTCTTTTGTTTTAGAACAGAAAATTTACAATCTGAGTTATAACAGCACCTAAGAGAGTGCAGTAGAATTGCTGTAACATAGATAATCTATTTCTCCAAATGCCAATATGTCTAGAGTGAAGAATATGCATACCTTCTGAATTATCTTATCCTACTTAATAAATCAGCCAGTTTTTTTCTCACTCTTTGCACGGCAGCTTCTTGCACAGTAAAGATTCTACAAATATTTACATTCCAAGTAGCAAAGCTGTTTGAAATGCTATAAAGTTCTGCCAGCACTTCTATTACAAACCCTTATTTCTTGTTTATAACATGTACATAAAAGGAGGAGAATAAAAATGTACTATGGATTGAAACTTGGCATACCAAGTTTCAGCTCAGAAGGGGATGCATTTCTTCTGGAACAAATTTTCAAAAGAAATGTTCCCACTATATTTAGAAAACAAGGGAGCTGGGGGGTCAAATCAAAGGCCACTTGGCATAGTTGGTCCTTCCTGAAAATTTTATGCAAATTACATCAACTTTAAAAACAAATTCTTAAGCATCCCAGTCCTCCAGTTATCGTCATGACCAAACATCTTTCCAGCGGATAGCCCAGGCATGGTTATCAAGCATAAGAAGATACACTTTCCATTAGTACTCCCAAATTTATCACATACATGCAAATTAAAAATCAGTCTGTATGTACGATGTATGTTACAGTTCCTTAGGGTTGCTCATTTTCAAGGAGAGAAAATAACTGGCTAAGATAAAAAGGCTTAAAGGTAGACTATTGGTGATGACCAAAACAGAGATGGCAAGCAGACAAGCTCAGCACACTAACCCCCTGCCATCTCGCCATCTCCCACTGCACATGATTAACATTATTTTACTGCTAAGACTTAGGAAAATGTGATTGGAAAACAGAATATTGAGCCAGTCAGAGCTTCTCTGTTTCCTGGTACTGCCACAATAAAGTGATGTACAGATCTGGCAGCTTGAAAGTGCCAATTATATCTATATACTCGTTCAGCACAAAACATATTAGAAGTTAATGAGAACTTCAAGTTGGACAGTTAAATTATGCAGTAAAAACAAAACTCAAAGATGTGCACTGAATGAATGAGGAGCTGAGCACTTATCAAAAAGAAAGATGCATATTTTGTTGGCAAAGCGAAGAGGCTATTAGTTTGTAATAACTAGGCATATCTGAAATGTGACAGAGATAAAACTGAAGTTAAATCAGCAACTGAAAGGCTACAGTTTGTCGGCAACTAATCTTTTCTCTACTTGAAATTGCAACCTTGGTCCTATTAAATATTTTGTTGCTAATTTAAGAAACACTTGGGCTATCCAATTGTGTTGTGAAGGAGATTTAAAAGTTAGAGTTCTTCTGGAGAAATGAACTATATGTCTTCAGGCTGAGTCCTAACATCTGGACAGCAAGGAAGCCATGGGGCTGAGTGCTACTGTCTGAGGTAGCCACTGCCTGAAACTATTAGTCTGGAAATCAGTTATCTCTTCCATGTTCCCCACTATTCCGCTTTTACACAGGAGGCACCCTGGCTTGCATTTCACTTCATCATTTGTCTGATGAAAGAATGAAGGCCATTTGCTCCATTTCCCCAGAAAATATTGATCCCTGGAAGGGTCTTCAAACCACATGTTGACTTTCAACTGAGGTTGATGTCAAACAAGCATTCGGACATCCTGAGGCCACTCTATTTGCATGCAAAGATAGGCTCCATTTAGCACCACTGAAGACTGAATCCTATCAGATGTCTTTATAAGTACTTGTCCATGACACAGTGATTTGCCCTTATTAGGCATCCTGTGACTGTGGCATTAAGTGCAGATGACTATTAACCAGCAGACAACTTCTTCTCTAGTAACATGAATCACAATGGGTTAAAACCACCCACCAAGATGCCAGGTCACTGCAGCCCAAGTCAGGTTACTGTTGGTAAACACAGTCAGCACTACAAAAGTAACCCATTTAACTTGCTATTGAGATATAATAGGTCTTTTAAAAGCAATTACTTCTTTCAGTCTCTGAAGGGCTCTGACTCATTGCTTTGATTAATTCCTGTTTTTAATCTATTTACAGATAGAATTCTTTCTCAGCTACTGTGATATTCTTTCTGTGGGGGTAGCTGAAAACCAAGGTACATGCACTCTCCCTATATTGTGAGTGTGTCTATTCTTGCTTAATCATTTTAAAATTATTTTTGGATTGAGCTACTCCCCCACCTGAGCTGAGATTTCTGATCTCCCTCAGGCAAAACACACATCCTGGGTCAGCTGTTTCTGCAGCTGTTTTTTTGCATCTTGAGTTGCGGTTAGGAAACTGTCTACCCCTTTCCAGAGCTCTATCTGTTCCTATCCTGAACGCGGGTTTGCTGTCCTACCATAGCGTGCACCATTAAACCATTCTTCTTTGCGTATCTCCTAGTAAATCGATAAGGAAACGCAATCTCGGGAAGGATATACGGATTGGTGAGCCTTGCGGAGCTCTGCACAAGCAGAGCCTAGAAGTCCTTTATTTCATGCAACCAAAAAAGAAAAGAAAAATAATCCTGGGTGCTGTGACTGTGACTCTGGGTGCGGGGTGGGCACTTCCTGGTTTTCTGCTAAGAGCTTCATTAGCTTTGCAAGCCTCCTTAGAGATTAAAAACAGCCAGATTCCAACAGGCTCCTAACTCAAGACACCTGAACTACAATCTGCAAAATAAACTGGACAGGGCATTCCACTGAAGGCTGCAGATGTCTGAGTGGACAGAAAAACGCAGCCTGTAAAACTTAGGGGCTAATAGATAATTCCTCCACCCTGGCTGGCTCAGATCTGAGAGTCAGGACCAAGGCTTTTGGAGAAGACGCCTGTCCTTCGCAACCCCTGCACCATGCCCTAGGATTCTCTTTCAGCATCCCTGGGGTTCACAACTTTTTATTTTTTCAACTTTCGTTATCCAAATCTGCTGCGCTAAAGACAGGAAGGAAAGGGTCGCCTTTCCCAGCGCCCAGGCAGAAGCCGTCTTTCCATCCCTAAACCATCCTCTCCCTACGTAGGGGAAAATATTGGCTCCATGGCAAATATTCCAGGAAAAGCATCGTTCAACTCAGCCCATCAGGAGCCCATCTCTCCCGCAAACAAACTTTGGGGCTGAGGAGCCCCTAAAGCCAGTGCTCAAAGTTTCCCAGCCAGGTGGCTCATCCAGGTCCTCCGAGTGAGGAAGCAGACATCCCCGACCTACCTAGTAGCTGGAGCTCGCAAGGTGCCCGCCCCGCCGGCCCTCCCGCCGCCGCTGGTCGGGACCCGGGGGGCCGCCGTGTTCGCCCCTGCGAACCCCTGCCTTCACCGCAGCGCCGCCGTCCGCGCTGTTCCCGGCAGTTCCCTGCCCGACCCGTGGCGCCTGCCCGCCCTCCGCCGGCGCCACCGCGCGCCAGGATGCTGTGGCTGCTGCAGGCGCAGAGCGAGCGTTGCCTGCGCCTCGGCCGCTCCGGCTGGGGCTGGAGCTCTTGCTCCAGCACGGGAAAAAGGGAGGGAGGGAGAAAGGGAGGGAATACCGGGTAGGAGAAAGGGGCGGGAGCGCGGAGAAGGAGCAACCAACAAGGTCCCGCGCCTCGCGCCACCAGCTCCCCGCGCCTATGCCCGGCCGACCTCAATCGCTGCCCTGCGATCCGCCTCGAGAACGCACGTGTGTCGGGTCTCCGCAGGGCCCCGGCGGTGGCGCGGGACCAGCAGTGGTCACTGAGTCACCGCTGGGTGGCCTCGTGCCCCACAGCTGCCGTCCAGGTTGCATGGGGTTAAGGGTGGGGAGGAATTGCTTCTGCTTCTAAGGAAACCTCCTGCAGCTGCGCTCACACAAGTACACAAAAATTGCCAATTTTATAATTAAAGCAGAGAATTATTAATGGTTCTCAGTAGATGATTGATAGATTACAGAGATAGATGATAGAGATAGATAGATGATAGATAGATGATGATAGACGATAGATAGATGATGATGATAGATGATGATGATAGATAGATAGATAGATAGATAGATAGATAGATAGATGGATGGATGGATGATAGATTATTGGGAGGGGATAGATAGATAGATAGATAGATAGATAGATAGATGGATGGATGATAGATTATTGGGAGATGATGGATAGATGCATAGGTAGACTGACAGATTGATAGACGAATGATAGATGATGGATGGATGGACAGATAGATGATTGGTGGATAGGCAAATAGATGTTTGACTGATACCTGATAGCTAATTGATAAATAATAGATACATAGGTAGATGGATAGATGGATAGCTGATAGATTGATGATAGATGGATGGATGGAGTCACAGATAAGAGACAGATACACACACAAACTCCAGGTAATGAACTGTGTTGTCTACAGGAATTCAACACTTTCAACCACAGCAACTCTATTTTTATTCCATGTCTGAGTGAAAAGGAAATTAATTTGCCTAAGGATTCAATGAGTTGATTATAAGAATGAGCCCAAGTTAATTTTTACAAGGACTCCATGAAATGGGACAGGTCACTTTTATTTGTCTAAGTACACATAGTTAATGGTGGGTCAGAGAATTTGAATACTTCTAGTTCAACCCCAGGATCCACCAAGCACCCGGGCAAATGGTAAAACATATTTTTGTAAGTGAATACAACTGGACAACATACCTGTCAGTGTTTAGAGGAGTGGCCAAAGAGAAGAGTGGAGACATACGAGACATAATGGAATACAATGTAGCAGCTATAGCGCTGGGTGTTACTATTGGCCCTGGCATAATACCTTCCAAGAGGAGATACTGCTGTGCTCCTATGGTGAGTACAGCGAGCACTTAGGAGATGAGGGCAGGAGGATCACAAGTACTGAGTTTGAAGCCAGCCTGGATTAGAGAGTAGCATCCTATCTCAAAAAGCACAAAGAAAGAAAAAGTTGGTACAGGAAAAGTATTTTGTGTATGTGCATTCACATCCCTGAATACTGCTTAACAATAATCCCTGTGAGTCAGACTTTCCATTTTATCAGTCTTGGACATTGTTTTTAAATTTTGTTATTAGTTCATTTTCACTTTATATTAGGAAGCAAACTGCTGCAGTTCTTAAATTAGACTGAAACTTTCCAGCTCTGACTCCTCTCTTCCCCTCTCCCTCTCTTCTCTCTTCAGTTCATAGTCAGACAAAACAGCAGTTCATCAAAGGGAGCATCCTTGGAAAATCATATGTGAAAGGAGCTTCCCAGTGAGTGGCTATTTTGATGGCTCTTTATCATTCTTGTTCATTTCTCCAAGAGACAAGGATCTGATTGTCTGCAATTCAGAAAGAAATTTGAACTTCTGAGAAGTGTTGAGGGACTTTAGAAGGAGATGGACCTGACTCCAAGATGCAAGGCACCACTTCCCACAGTGCAGCTAGCTTCCTGGGCCTTCCATAAGCACAAATAAATTGCTTCACTAGGAGGAGCAGGTGAGTTCCTTTTATCCCTGACATTTTTTCACCAGTTCTCTTACCCCAGGAGAGGACAGCAGGCTCTGGGATATACTTGGGAACTTTTGGGAATATTAGCTACTTTTGCTATGACTCACTTTATCAGGAAACTGTTCATCCTAGTAAGAGTAATGGCTGGATTTAAGAAATCATAATAATAAAAGCTGGAGTTATTTATATTTTAAAGTGAGGGGGAAGGCAGGGCTAGATCGAGCATAATAATAAATAAAAATGTGTTTCTCCCATCAGAATTAAATTGCAGTAAATTTGGACTCCTTAGGTCTCTCTACTTAGTGAAGGAAAAAAATAGATCAGCTAAGGTAGGGTGGTTTATGGTTGTTTCAGTTGTTGTTGATTATTGTAAATAATCTCTTTCTTGCATTCTGGGAGCACTTTGGCAAACCCCCTGAGTGTGACAAAATGTTTTATTGGGCAGAACTGGTGTGTTCTAGAAGGAGTGAAGATAACTTTACATGCAAATTATACTCCTGCCTTGCGCCAAGCAGGTGCAATTACTGCCATGCTCACATCCATCACAGACATGCCTTTTCCTTTAATATTTTCAACATGATGTCTTATAATACATTTCCTTCTAATACACATGTATATGCCCTGTCTAATGGGAAAAGGAGAACATTTTTATTAATGCAGATGGGGGATCTGGCCCCAGGTACCAAAGGATAGGGAGAAAGATTGCAAAGAGACTGCTTTAAATTAGACGAAGAGAAATCTACACACTAACTCCTTACAGCCCTCTCCAAATAATTAGCCATTTCCCATTTCAGATTGCATTGCCTGTGCTGGTGAAAGCTGATTAGTACCAGAAAGGGATTTAATGGAATTTTGAATCTTATGGTTATAGCAGAAGGAGGCAGGAATATCCTAAAGTTTACAGGAGTGATGATGAACATTAAACATGAGCCACAGTTCCTAATAAGAACAGGTAAAAGGTGTGTAAATATATGCTTATAGAGTGGCACACATTGTTTTACATTCTTCCTTTACTCAAAATGTAAAGCATAATGTGAGTCAACTGAAAACCTGATATTTACCAAAAGTTGATACACAAGAGCAGGTTTAAATAAAATTTCCATTCAATTTCTGGGCCAGAAGCCCAGGAAATTAGAAAAGAAAAAAATTAAAAGCACATGTGGGTCTTCTCAGTGTGAAAGCCGGATGGAGTTTTTATTGAATTTGGCCTCAACTGATTGTGGCATTATAAGCAATTCTGCAGTTAAGTTTCAGCAGTCATTTAGATGGTAAATCCTTTTTTTAGGGCATTATAACTGTGGTGGTTTGAATGAAAATGTCCCCCATAAGCTCCAAGTGTTTGGACATTTTGTCCCCAGATGATGGTGTTGTTTTGAGAGGTTTTAGAAGGTGTGGCTATCCTGGAGGAAACATGTCACTGGGGATGGGCTCAGAGAGTTCTTAAGCCTTGCCAGATCTCCAGTCACTCTTGCTTCCTATGCCTGCATGATGATGTGAGAGCTTAGCTTCTGCTGCTCCTGCTCCAGCCACCTCCAGCCACCATGGCTCTCTGCCATGATGGACTGTAATTCCCCTGGAACCATAAGCTCAAATAAACTCTTCATTCTATAAACTGTTTGGGTCAGTGTTTCTATCAAAGCAACAGAAAAGTGACTAATACAGTAACCAAGACTAATAACTTCCTTTTCCTATGATACTTTTTCTATCAAAGCTTTTAAATGTGTAATATCATCTTCCCATTGTTAGGATGCACCATCTGTGTGGAAAGATAGAAACTGTTTCATGGAACTGATACCATGTTATCACTTGTTTGCTTGTTTACTATGTAACACAAGGAAATGAAGACACATCTACAAAGTCCACAGTGGGAAAATCTTAGGCAAAGAGGATAAAATGGAACATAGCCAGGCTGCTAATTTAAACATGCCTCTTCTGAAGGAGAAGTGGGACTTTTCATTTCCCTGCATAGAAAGGGCCTAGGAGCATCACCATGCTGCTTTTTCAAAGTTCCAGCTCCTAGATGGATGCTAAGTTGGTGGCTTAACGTTTTTCATACTGTCTACACTGCTGGATTGAGTGGCCCTGAGATGTTTGTTGTTTTTTTTGAACCAGACTAATATGTAATAATGACTTTTCAGCATCCGAATTGGAGTAAAGAAACCAGGTTGTTAAAATAACTACAACCCAAACCTTGCTATGAAACTTTTGTTTTAAAGGAATGATTGGTCAATGAATATCTTTATTCAAGCAAGTTCTCTACATTTCTGCTATAAAGGGAAGATTCTGAAAACATGAACACATATAAAAGTTGAGGTAACATGCTATATTAGGCCCTTTTCCTGGAGCTCATGCCTGGGCTCATGTTGTTTTCTCTGAAGAGGTTTACTGAACTTTCTCTTATACCACTATTATTATCTTCATATCAAACAGTGGATCACTGTGTGACTGAATTTTATTTTGCTGTTGTTCTCATGTCCACTGTTTCATCCATTGTTAGACTGTAAGCTTCATGAAGGCAGGAGTTTTTTCTGCTTATTGCTGCACAGGGAGCTTCCACCAGACTCTAACATACACATAATGGGTTTGCAGTAAATGTTGGCTCAATGAAGGAGCAAGTTTCCAATGTGCCAGGTGCTATACAAACTCCTCATTCAGAGCAGCTGGCAGTCCTTACAACCACCACAGGTAGTAAATACTCTGGTAAACTTTCTGTGGATAAATATATTAAGACACAAAACGTGAATGCATGTCTGGAAGCTCATTTTCCCAAGAACATCCAAGCTGTGGTCCAGAAGTCTGATGCTAGGATCCCTGCTTAGTGTGTAGAACTCCATGTTTAAAAGAATTGTCAACCGTTCATTCCAACAACTTCCTTAATGTGTAGAGCTCAATGCTACTTTTGATTCAGCAGCTGAAGGGTGTGGGCTGGTACTCTACATTTCTAACAATCTAGGTGATTCTGGTGCTGCTACGTTATATACTGAATTTTGAAGACCT